ATATATATATATATAAATTATAAATTTGCTTGTAATTCTCACCTATCAGTGCAATGTAGGTCATCCAGAACACAATTCGGGAAACCACTGGCCCCATTATGACTTCGACAGCAGGCTTCAGTACTACTCCTGCCAAAAACAACAACAAAAACGATAATTGTTTTGTAGTTGTTAAAGATGGAAGACGCTAGTTCTACATTCTGCCACGAAGTCCTGATTCAAGTGTAGTATGTTGTGATATGTGACACTATGTTGTCTGCTAGAAGTTTTCCTACGTTTCAGAGGAGAGTACAGCCTTCATTTATGAAACTATTCTATCAAGTAGAGCTGTACCTTCCTCCGGATACGCTGAAGAAGGACACAGAAGTTTCCTCCGAAGTGTTGGTATTTTTCAACCAAACTGCATAGCATCACATCACAGAAGAGAATAAGCTTCATAGTCACCGTCGTGCACACCTCAAATCTCACGTCCTATATGATCTCACTTGGGACCAAACCCGGGCCCCCGAAGTGTTCAAAGATTGGCGTAAATAATTAACTCATAGTTAAAAAGCGAAAATATGGCGCACCTTCAAAGATATTTTGAACGAGCAATACTTATAAATATGTGAAAGAAGATTAAAATACTTTCACTACAATAAATAGGCATACCTAATATCACAAACATGAGAGCCCATGACAGTAAGAAGGTGTGAAATGCTGCAAACATAATGTTCTTTTGCTGTATCCAAAACCAGCGACGTTTACTGGACAAAAGCTAGTGAGAAACTGTGGAAAATATACTACAAGGTGTTTCTCTTACAAACAATAGGGTGAATCCATTACCATCTATCACAATTCGTCAGAAATCATTATGTAGTGTTCCTAAGTTCACGCATGCGCAGTTAAACCAGATCATGGGTGCCGGCGGGAATTCTTGCAAACAAAAATCAGAACTGAAATAAAGGAAATATAGAAACTATTAATAATAAAAATTAAAAGATTATAAATGATGTTCCTCTTCTGAACCTTCCAGGGCAGAGGTTCTCAGACTTTCTTGTAACTATATTGCCACGTACATGAGTGTGACTATAGATGGGTTTCAGATTGGAGATTGGATTTATTGATCACTTTAACGCACGATTCGTAACTACCAGTAATTACGAGTATATCGCCATTGCTAATCTTCACAATTTACAAATCACTAGAGCACACGCTTAGTTTTTTCCAGCCTGCAGTGTATTCCCTAGTCATTTCCTGGTAACGGCTTCTTACAGTGGAGATTCTTCAGCTTCCGCGCTCACTCTATTGCCGGCTGGCTGCCGTTTCACGGCTGAGCTAAATTCAAAAGTCAAAGTCACGTTGGGATCGACGTTAAGTCAGTCAGTCTGTGTTGGTGTCGAGCCCCAGCTAGGACTCATGATCAGATATAAGATTCTATTTGAGAGGTATGAACTTGTTAATTTGAGGCACCCTCTCTGACAAGAGGACGGGTCTGTCATTTGCCAGAATCACTCTCAGCAGTAACAAATAAGTTGTCAGGCTGTATATAACATTTACATTTTACATGTTATTACATATTATTAAATGTATGTTTGTATGTACGAGTATATATAATACATACAAGACCTCTGTCAATCCAGATTCAGTACAGGTGATCATGCCCTATCTTTATTAGCTCAAGTTACAACGGCAGTTTAGTCACTTGAACTGTCTAATGGTTGACCGCCACCAAGTTTAAGTCTCTTATGTCTTGTCTTGTGTCTGGCTTCGCCCTACTGAATTAAATTCTAAGCTTGTCCTACTCACAAACCTTCGGCACGGACCGAGTAGGAAATATCGTTTCCAACAATTTATCTTTTGTTGCACGTGCGCTAGTTGCCATGGGAGTCTGTTTCTTTCGCTGTTGCTACCTACTAACGGGTCTACACCCTACAATACTTTAAATAATTCTCGATAAATCTCACTCCCCCACCCCTCCCAGAATTGGTAGCGGTACCCTAGGAATTTGCGGTGCAATGTTTGAAGTTACTGTGCTCTAGGGCAGCCAGTAAAAATACTCCTAAACAAATTAAACGTAAGAAGAAAGCCGTCTTCTGCGATGTGGCGTCGTGTAGATATTGTGTTAACCGACGTTTCGGAGGAACGTATCGCCTCCATCTTCAGGGTAGAAGAAAAAAGAAAATCCGCGAGCGAGGAACCAGCGTGAGCAGGTGTCAGCAGAAAAAATCTACCTGCAAACTTTAGTCTAATTTGTAAGATTTGAGGTTTTCACGGCGGTGACTATGAAGAAAGCAGTCTTCTGGGATGTGGCGCCGTGTGGATACTGTGTTAACCGACGTTTCGGAGGAACGTCAGTTCAGAATTCAGCCTCTTGCACCTGCTCACGCTGGTTCGCTCAAGGAATTTTTCTTCTTGTCTTCTACCCTGAAGATTTAGGCGATACGTTCCTCCGAAACGTCGGTTAACACAATATCTACACGGCGCCACATCCAAGATGACGGCTTTCTTCATAGTCACCGACGTGAAAACCTCAAATCTTACAAATGAAACTTAAGTTTGCGGGTAAGCGGCCTCCGTAGTCTAGGGGTAACGTTCCCACCTCATGACTCAAGGTACGCGGGTTCAAAGCCGGCGGAGGTCGTGGAACTTTTAAGGGCGGAAAAATTCAGGGAACAAGTCCTCCGGGAGGGACTTTAAGCCGTGGGTCCCGTGTCGTAGATTTACGGCACGTAAAAGAACCTCGTGTCTCTAGGAGACCTCTGAGCTAAATTTGGCCAAAAAGTTTCCCGCCCAAAGTAGTTTCCAATGCCTCCGGTAGATGGGGGAAGTATTAGGTAGCACTGCCATTGGAGGGGGGATCTCTCTGACAGAAAGGGGCTAACTATTAGATACCACTGCCAGTAGAAGGTTGGAACCTCGCTGGCAGAAAGGGGCTGATAGTAAGCACAAGTACCGGTAGGGTATGGAGACAGTAGAAATTAAAAAGGGGGACGCGCAATGGACCAATAACTGGTCTAAGTGAATGGGGAAGCCCACCTCCTCAATACTGAATACTGAATACTGTATAAGTTTGCGGGTAGATTTTTCTGCCCCGCTCTCGGGGAAAAAATATCCTGTTATCGCGCATGAGCAAGGTACATTCCAAATGTCATCACACTGGATAAAGCAATAAATTGTAACTTCCTTGTGAGATTTGATATTCTTACGTAGGTGAAACAGAATTTCGGGGTAAAGCGGCATTGCTGTCTGGTGTTCGGGAGGTACTGGGTCCAGATTTCGGTCAGATCACTTAAACTGAAGGTTACACGTTGTGTTCCACAATCCGTCCCAATAAAACGTCTGACAGATGGCGCTGACCTTCAACTGGCCTCGACGCATTATTCGATAATACATGCACATCTATAATTGTGTGTGTGCTTGCGTGCATGTGGCTGTGCTCAGAGAGCACGCGCAGGCTTCGATGAAGGTTGAAGTAACACAGCTTAGTACAATAGGCAGAATGGGTCATATTCTTCATTCTTGTAGATTCTAAAAGGTTCTGACGATGTTGTGTACAGGGCTGGGTTCGATTCCCGACTCTACCTGATTTTCAGAGAAGTAGTGTTTCTGGGTTCCACTCAACCTCGTGAGGATAACTGAGGAGCTATTTCAAGGAAATACCGGCTCCGGCCTAGAAAATCGAAATTAAAGGCCGTGGTGATTCGTTGCGCTGACGACACGACACCCTCTATCCGCTAAAGTTGGCACTAACTTCACCGACAAGCGGCGGTCGCTCGGTCGGTATAGTTCGCTTGCGGACAAAAACCATGGAGTTTGTTTGTTTTTTTGTTTTGTTTTCTGTGTAACATTCGGAAGTACTGGTTTTTTGTACTTCGGCCCAGTGGCTGAGGTTAGCTATTCCTAAAGGACCCAACGAATTAAGGGCCTCCCCCTTTCACTTGAGGACAGAAACACTATATATTCTTGTTCTCCCTTTCCGGCATATTTTGAGCAATATTTGTCCAAACTGTTTTAGCACAAAAGAAGTTAATGAAGAAAGAGAGGAATGACGGTAAGGTGTAAAAATTAAGTGACTGGATAGTTATACTGTATTAAGGAAGGAGATAAAGGTACCGAAGTATATATATTAACTGAAGAGATTTCCTATTGAATTATCAACGAGCATTACACTACGTTTTATACAGGGTTATTCATAAGTCCGCGAAACATTTTACAAATTCACAACAAATAAACTATGCAGCGCATCATTGGTAATTCTTACGCCAATAGACAATGAATCTATCCGGGATTTTTAAGCCCTCCATTGCCTGCTAATCACAGGGATCTTCGCAAACGTATCACCGCTGCTGTGGCTCTGATCAACCGTAATATGCTGACACGGGTGTGGGACGAAATGGATTATCGCATAGATGTCTGCCGTATCAGCAAAGGTGGACACATTGAGCATCTGTGAACTATGTAAAAAAAAAACTTAGTGAGTTTATGTCTCTTTCAGTGTAATAAAATTTGATATCCGTTGCGTTGTTTATTTATTGTAAATTTTCAGAATGTTTCACAGACTTATGAATAACCCTGTATAGTGGACCCATGAAAGTTTTCTATGCCAGGAGTGCCAATAAAACGAGAATGGAAACCATTAGGTACGTATTTTTAAAAGAATAAGTAATTAAACGTGAAATAGAACAGCCAGTCAACTTACGTAACAGACACTTGACGCTATAAATTCTAATACATTCGTGACAGTACAATAGGAATAGCCAGTAATGCTTTCTTTTACATTCATTAACCTGTTTCTCGCAAAGGTTTGAATCAAAATTTTAAATTAACTTCACTGTAAATATAGTCGTGTAATGGCAACTATTTGGAACTAACCTGTTCACTATTTTCTTTCTATGCGGAGTATTAGTTGCACCAAGTTCTTATAAGTAACAAAAAAAACTCCGTGGCTTGTAGTCCGCAAGCGAACTATACAAAACGAACAACCGCCATTTACCGGCGAAGTTAGTGCCAACTTCAGCGGATAGAGGGTGTCGCGTGGTCAGCGCAACGAATCCCCACGGCCGTTAATTTCGGTTTTCTGCAAAGAACTAGAAAGTATTTGAAAGTACGTGTAATAAGCCGTGGTCCAGCGTATAGCATTATCCTATCATTTTTCTGGAAGGACTGAAGAAAACCACGAAAGTATCCTCAGTCAAGACAGCCAGTGTCAGGGACGAGTTTCAAAGCGAAAAACCTGCCCAATAAAATCATAGAAATTTACCGCTAGGCTAACCCGCTTGATGCGTCGGTTATGTCTGTCAGTCACGGGTAACTCAACGTACCATGGTTTATTAAGTGACTTGTCGCGGTTACTTACAGATTACGATGTACTGTCACTGTTACACTGGTTGTCAATGAGAATTATTAGTTCTAACAACCTGCTTTGGGGGATATCTGTTTCGAATTTCGACAGGAACACTAACTACCTTATGTTTTATGTGGTTTTGCTCAGTCCCTCCATGCAATTGCCGCAATAGTACCTACATTTAGGCCACGCCCTCTTCTTCTGTTTGAATGTTGTTATTCTTCATTATTCAGCTCATTCGACGCTATAATGTCTGAATTACTGACGCCATTAACCAAATTACAATTAAATATATCTCATTAATAAAGCCGTGCCATAGCTCAGGCGGTTAGTCGCCAGCTTCCCACAGTCGAAGCCATGGTTCGAGCTCGGCCCAAGTTCTGTGGGATTTGTGGTGGACAAAGTGGCACTGGGGCAGGTTTTATCAGAGTACTTCGGTTTCCCTTGTCAATTCTCATCTGCTCCACATTCATCATCATCTGTCATCTGGGACTGGTACAATAGGCCAGTTACTGGAGGACGTACCAAGTGGACTCAGTTTTATTTAGTTCCTTGAGGTGGGGTGAGACTATTTCATTAATACCTGCGTAATATATCTGGTTCTATCTATCTATGGCTTCTACAGCCCTTTGTTTGACCTTGGCCGTTCTTTCAGTTTCTTTATATTTTACACAGTCAGTAGGCCTCCTTGGACGGGGATCGGCCCGTCGCAAGACCACTACCTACACACAGAATAAACGCACACAGATATCCATGCAAGTGGGCTCATGATCCCAGTGTGAGAGTGGCAAAGACAGTTCATGCCAGGGCTGGAACACACACAGCGACATCGGTCGTACGGAAAAATGACCTACGATTTTTTTGCCGTACGACCTCTTTTTCACACTGGGGCGACCAAATACATTTCTTTGCTCTCCGACTGCCGTACGGTAGATGTCGCATGTCGTCACGTATGAAAGCTAAGACTACACTTTATATTCTACTACTTGATGCGACATGAACCGTACGGACGTCGTACGGCCGATGTCGCTGTGTGTGTTCCAGCCCTTAGATCGTGCGGCCACTGTGATCTTCATCTGTTTACCAGAAGATTTCTGTCTTCTGGGATACAACACTGCCTAATCACCCGCCCAAGGAGTCCTACCGAATGTGTAAGATCTAGAAAAACCGAAGTGAACGGAGAAGTTCATGGAGGTAGGCCTAGGCCCACTGGGGCTGTAGTGCCAAAGAAAAAAAAAATACGTGTCCCAGGAGATAGAAAACTTCGTAACAATTGCTGTGAGATCTTCAATTCCGACATATTTATTTACCCGTTTACAGGGCCGGATTTCCAATTTTTGGGGCCCTGAAGCGATCAAAATGTGCAGACTCTTATCAGTAGCAACAAATTTATGTTATCATAATAATTCTTCTATTCTCATTTCCTGTAAAAACTAAAAACTCAAATTAACTCTCCGTAAATTTAGAAAAGCAAATATCTTAAAAAATCTGTAGATTTTATTTTGTGGCATACCCGGGACGACCGCCATGGCCAGTCCAATTTACTTTCGGTCCTGCCTGTTTACATATCCATAATTGTATCCTGTACTTTGTTAAATTTATCTTCATTTTTTTTCGGCAAATTTGCTTCTATGCTGAGCGCCTATTCAATTCGCTGTTATCAGTCTGTATATCCATATGGAGTAAGTTGAGAACCTCCCACCGGATTTTCATGAAGATTTGTATTTCGGAGTTTCACTATGATCTGTCTCAACTCTCCAAGTCTAGTTAAAGTAGGGTAAAAATGGACGACATGACTGCACTTATGTCGATCTTAACCAGTTCAATATTCATCGGAAGAAGTTTTAAATAGTCATTCATTCTTTGTCCAGTATATTTATTTTTCGCAAGTCATACGGTTTTCGAGATAATTAAAACAAGAATTTCGGGGTACGTTTCCTAACTTCCATATTTAACAGTCAAAAAGGGTCTACCCCCGAAGATGACTGAAGTTTCTCATACTAGATAGTAAACATATGCCAGCTTCCTTGCACCTCAGATAATAATATACGTCAATATAAATTTATTTAAAACAATTTCATGTCGAAGCAGAAATATATATTTTTTTCAGTTTTATCTGAATAAATATTTAACAATATTTGATCGTATCGAAATTAATATTGAACATGGAAGTTAACACGTCGCTTATATACATACACATAATACTCATTATATAGCTGTCAACAAAACATTTTTTTTCGGTAGATGGACTTTGCTGCTAAGAACGAAATGTTGTGGAACATGTGTGCCATCTGCAGGTCCGGATTTTAGTTACAGTTATTCTACAAAATTTATTATCCTAAAAGTGGATTTCTTCCGGGCTGAGGCCAACCATGACCTCACTCTTCTCCCATAAATTCTTGGCAAGAGTTTCGTCCATTGCTGCTTTTGACAATTTTGATTCCTAAAAGAAAAAATCAGAATATTTAATTCCTTGCCATTATATCATCGTTCGTCTCCACCTCAAAATTATCTTACCTTAAGTTACGTTTCGCCTGCAAAATAATTTAAACACGTCCGCTGTTTAAATACTTAAAAATTAGAATATACAAAACTATAATCTTTCCCGTGGTTCTGTATGGGTGTGAAACTTGGTCTCTGACATTAAGGGAGGAACATAGACTGAGGGTGTTTGAGAAAAGGGTGTTGAGGAGAATATTTGGACCGAAGAGAGATGAACTGACGGGAGGTCGGAGAAACTGCATAATGAGGAGCTTCATAACTTGTACTCTTCTCCAAGTATAATTAGAATGATCAAGTCAAGGAGGATGAGGTGGGCAGGGCATGTAGTACGAATGGGGAGAAGAGGAATACATATAGGTTATTGGTGGGAAAACCAGATGGAAAGAGACCGCAGGGAAGGCCAAGGCGTAGGTGAGTGAACAATATTAAATGGATCTTAGAGAGATAGGGTGGGGTGGTATGGACTGGATTATTCTGGCTCAGGATAGGGACCAGTGAATGGCTCTTGTGTACATAATATTGAAACTTCGGGTTGCATATAATATTGGAAAATTCTTGTGTATGTGCACAACTGGTACCCCACTCTCTGGAATAAACAGAGAAATGTGTGGGTGTGTGAGAAAGAACTGCTGTGCAAAATAACATGACCTAAGAGACTGGAAGCAATCAATGCGTGAGTGACCTCGTTACGGTGGTGAACATGAGTTCTACTACCGTCTGGAACATGACGCTTATCGCCTATTACAATTTTCGTACAATTTCTCAAATTATCATTCAATATAACGTGTGGATTGTCCCAACGCCTTACAGCAGTTACTGCATCTTTGTGTTTGCAGGAGCGTCAGTGGACACACCAGAGATGCATGCGGATTAAGAATGCCGTCTTCTGGGACGTNACTCAAGGCATGAAAGGCTGCAGCCACGTCCTCACGATGGTTCCTCGCTTACGGATTTTTCTACCCTGAAGATGGAAGCGATACGTTCCTCTGAAACGTCGGTTCAAACAAGATCTACACGGTGCCACATCCCAGAAGACGGCATTCTTCATAGTCAACGCAGTGAAATCCTCAAACCTTACATGAATGTGGATGTTATGGAACAAAACTCTGAATAAATTACCTTTTTCCTTTTTATCACAAATAGTTTTATCTTACAGAGCTAAGCGCTCACTTCTTACTGTAGAAACCCAGGCTCCAGCCTGTGTGACTTCTCTCATTTGTCTCATCCTGGTCCATCACACTAACAATATTACAAGAGTTAATTAATTCCTTCCAGTGTGACTGATAGAGTTTTTTCTCCTTTTTAATATTTTATCCTTAACATGTTTCGGTCTTATAGAAATACTTCAGAAGGATATCAGTAAAATTAAAATCCACTATTACAATCAGTTTTGTGAATATTAATATATACATACAATGTTATCACAATACAATGAGTACAAAATATTATAACAACACAGGGCTCCTCGAACAAGAACAGGACGACACAGAAGAATCCTGTTATCCAAACAACAGAAACACAAGGCGGTAGACACTTCGCTTCCTTCAACGAGAGATAAATAAAAAGGACACGAACCAATTTGGTTTAAAATATTAACAAAATCTTTTTAAACATAGTAATTTAATTTATAAATATTTTAACGTATTAGTAATACAAGCCGCTGTACTTGTTAAAAGTATTAGATTTTGTACTCATTGTATTATGATAACATTGTATACATTAATATTCATAGAACATATTGTAATAGTGGCTTCTAATTGTATTGATATCCCTCTGAAGGTGGTCTGTAAGACCGAAAAATGTTAAGGATATAAGATTAAAAAGGAGATAAAAACTCTATCAGTCACACTGGACGGAATTAATTAACTCTTTATAATGTGTGACTTTGTTTGGGATTCGTGGTGGATCAAGTGATACTATAGCAGGAAATTCTCCTAGTTTTCTTCGGCTTTCCCTTGCTAATCACCATTCCAGCGTTGTTCCATAACCTCCTATCACCACCGCCTCTGAGGCGTGTGATAGCCCTGGCCAGGTACCGAATGTTCACATTGTCCGGAGCAGCGCGTAGCTGATTAAAGATTATAGATATAGTTTTTATTTTACCTCGCAATTCTCAAAATATTTTCCAGACACTCCTGTCACTTCTTCAGAAACTGCCAAGTAGATGGATGTTTGTGCACCTTCAACTGCGTTCTGAAACAGGATATTATTAAAGGGGCAGATTTGAAAGTAATATCTAAGCCAAATTTTATTAATTAAAGTTTTTTTTGTTGCTAGTGGGGTGGAACTAAGTCCCTTGTACTGCGGTCACTTCTGGCCTATTGTACCAGCCCCAGATGATAGGTGAGGATGATTGTGGAGCAATTGGTGGAATGAAGATTGGCAAGGGAAACCGAAGTACTGGGAGAAAACCTGCCCCAGCGCCAGTTTGTCCGCCACAAATCCCACTTGACCAGACCCGGGATAGAACCCGGGCCGCCGTGGTGGGAAGCCAGCGACTAACCGCTTGAGCTATGGCGCGGGCTTAATTAAAGTTAATTCATACATTGTGCAAGCAACATTAATGAAGGAAAGTTCTGTGCAAATATACTTTAAATTACCACATGCCTTTAGTTATCGGAGGTATGTTGAAAATAAAATCTGGTTACTTTCTGATTAAGATGTACCGGTTTACGTCAGTAACTTGAGATGGACAGGTAGGATTTAAAAACTTACACGTCTTTTCTTACGTAAGGTTGCCTACTCAAGATATGACACACTATAATAGATATTTTAGGCAAAAAAAAAATACCTCGCATTATTTCACCATAACTATTAAATTTCGTAAATTTATTTTAGCTTTACTGTCAGTAAATTATAAAACAAAAAGATTAATTCGAGGTTGCCCTAATTAATAATTATGGATTATGTAATAATTTTAAGATTAAAATGAAATTTGGCAACACTGTACCTTACGAGCACAACACTGACCCCATGAGCATTTTCCTATTCGTACAATTACTTTCAGTTAGTTATTTCCTCTTTCCATGCTGGTTGGAACAGTCATCATGTCGGCCTGTGTTCCCAGGCGTAGGAAAACCAATTACATATTCTGTAACTCAGTTATCTCCTCATCTACCAACGTACATACTAATGAAATTCTGTTTTCACAGGTTAATTATTGAGTGATTAATAATTATCAATTCGGGACTTCCTCAGAATGAATTACTCTGTATAAGAAACCCCGTATTATAGGCAAATTATCTGTGTGTCTGCCGCAAATCGTTCGGCCGGTCCGGCGGAAGTGTACATGCCCCTTTCCATAACTATTTCCTCGCGCGTTCGGACCCGCAGCAACATCAAGAAAAAAACACTGGCCAACAGATCATAAATAAAATATACCCAGATCATAGAAATGCCAAAAATGATTCCAGTTCTCAGCCATACATTCCTGTCAGCTTCGCAATTTCTTCATGATATAGTGCAAACTTTAAACTTTATACGCCGGTCCCTCGTGAAAATATGTCCACAGTAGCGAAACACGTTACATTATTATGGGGAGAATATTTAAGTCTAGCTCCACGCAGTAGCGTGGTTGTTTGAGGGGCTATGCTAAAAACCGGAAGGTCGCGGGTTCGAGTTCCGATGAAGTCATTGTATTTTTCAATTGACCTAATCCTTCCAGCCGCACTATGGCTCTAGGGTCGACTCAGCCTCTAACAAAAATGAGTACCAGGAATCTTCCTGGGGGAAAAAGGGCTGTCAGCGCGTAAGGTTGAAAACCTCACCGCCATTTGTGAGCCGACTGTCTAGAAAATGTGGGAGCCTCGACGCCTCACAACCCTGAGAGCCTCCACGGCTTTAGTTTTTACCAATTTCATGCAAAGGAGCTTGAATGAGAACTTGGCCCTTTGATTCGGTTCTCTTTTGCATAGTACTCATATATTCACGGATGTAAAGCTGTGTGGTCGGATGGAGCTTTGCCGACATTGGGGAGGAATATATTCGTACTGCCTTCATCTTCAAAATCAAAAAATAAAATAATCAAGCAACCAGCAATAAACAAGAAGATCCCTTTGGAACGTGACGGTATATTCTTCGGTATATTGGTGCCAACGTTTCTTATCACATACCTTGAAGTAAAGCCTGGCCATTAAAATGAACGGTAGTTTTACTATTTTCGGAAGATGTCGCCACACATCTGTCAACACCACTCCAGGGTGAACACTATTTGCTGTGACTCCTGTAATCAGTGACATGACTGAGTATTGTGCTCATGGCAGATTTAAGTACAGTCTCTTTGAGAATAGAACTAACAGCTTAGCCGTCTGAGAATTTTGCGTAGGTTGAAGCTTGCTAAAGGAAATGGATGCACAGTGGCTGACGAATATTGCATGCAACAATGCACTGAGAAGTGATAATATAGTATAATAGTAGTTCTGGTTGTGGTAGTAGTAGTATAATAGTAGTGGTGGTAGTAGTAGAAGTAGTAGTAGTAGTATAATAGTAGTGGTGGTGGTAATACCGTGGACGCCTCTAGCAATTTTTCCAAGGAAGAACGCCCGGAAGATTTCCTTAGAAGTCACGTTTAAACCATTTAGGTATATTTTTACTGACTGCCCTAGAGTATGAAGTATAGGTGAAAGTTTTTATATAATAATTTTAATTTTTCATATTAAGATTTGACATGATTACTTCTTTTGTCAAATTAGAATTTTTAAAAATATCCAGAATGGCATGTGTCTGGCTTCCCCTCCCTACCGACCTCCAACAAAATAGAGCAGCAGGAAAATGAACAGAACCAGATTACAAAGACAAATAAGAATGAGAACATGAGGAAGTGGAGGAGATATGAGAAGAAAGAAGAAGGTGATGAAAAGTGGAGGAAACGTCTTACAATGTGCTTTTCTTAAGTGTGCAGAGATTTTTAATTATTAACTCATCAGAATATTTCCATTTTTTTTTCCTTGGCACTACAGCCCCAGTGGGCCTAGGCCTACCTCCATGAACTTCTCCGTTCACTTCGGTTTTTCTAGATCATACACATTCGGTAGGATTCCTTGGGCGGGTGATCAGCTCGTCGCAAGGCCTCTACCTGTACACAAACACACACACAAACTAAACATCTATGCTCTGAGTGGGATTCGAACCCACCATCCCGGTTTCCAAGCGAACGAAGACAGTACATGCCTTAGACCGCTCGGCTATCATGACCGGCGAATATTTCCATTACTACTTCTAAATTTCAGTTCTGATACGCAGCAAATAATGGCTTTTCAGATGGTACTGTTAGTGAAGAAAACGCTTTTTGAGGTTACATAATCTGACAATCCGCGCTACTTTAGTTCTCCCTTCTCTTGAACCACTGAGGTATAAATAAGATCTGAGAATTCGTGTCGACAATACATTAATGATTACTGAGTTTTCGGACATAGATCCGGGGATAGAGCCTAGCTGTATCGGTTGAGCCCAACTGAATATGCGTTTACCTAAAGAAGAGAAAGACTCCAGTCTCCGAAAAGTTGTGTGTTTTAAACAAAAATCAGGAAGATGTATAATGCCCAAAACTCAACAATTTAACGGAGATATACTCTGTCTAAACTGTCTTTTGGGTTACGTCATACCTCTAATAGCCTACCTAAACAATCTGACGTCATGGAGCCAAGTTATACTTCAGAAGCCGCCAGTTGCTAACTCACGCAATCATTTCCCATCATATTATGGAATCCGAAGGTTTATTCACGTGTTCAAAGGAGCCTGCCATTGTCTCTATCCTAAACCAGATGTAACTAGGCCAGATCCTCCCATCCAATCCATATAAGATCAATCCTTCAATCCTTCAATCCAAGTTTAGGTCCTCCTAATTGTCTCTACTCTCGTCACGTTGATTTATGGAAGGACGCTGACTGGGAATTTCGCTCATTTAAGTGAGTACCGTATCAACTTAACCCTGAAATTTGTTAACACTCTATATTCTTAGTTTTCTCTGTGTATGTCTCCCTCCTTACTAGAATCAGTTAGAGTTTCTGGTTTTCCTTTCGTGGTATTTATGTTATCCCTCCATAGGTTTACATCGTCATCATAGACAAACAACTGATATGTTTCATTAACGTGTGTAATTTCAGCCCCACCTGGTTTTCTCGGACCTCCTTAATGGAGTATCCTGAAGCGAAGTTCAAAAGCAACGGCGATAAAGCAGCTCCATTTTATATTTTATATCCGTTTTTTGAGATTTTCGCTCTCATTACATTTTGAAGAACGAATCCAATACGTTTCTAATGATGACGTGACTACAAGCATATATGAGACTCACTGATGTCACACAATCTCAAAGATGAGTAAGGTGTATGAGACCATGGGTAACATATAGAGTAACAGATGGTTTACCAGGTAAAAGAGAGTCATTAAAATGGTGGATTCGAGGGTGTTACAGAAGCGACCTTGAAGAGCACAATCATCTAGGATATAACGCTGGATTGTCCGCTAGAAGTTCGCCGAAATTTCGGTTCTTTCGTAACATACATATATCCCGGAAACGTCAATGTAACGTACTTCTACAATTGTACGCAGAGCTACTACATTTACGAAGTCAATACTATTCGAACAAATACACGGCTGAAACTTCACCAACAGGAGAAGTAAATGTTTCAAAATACTCATGTCTTTGCAAACAATGACTTCCATTATCATTCCTTGTTGACGCAATTGAAAATACAGAACCATTCTCACACTTACTATTCAATGATTTAATCAAGTACTGCCACATGTCGACGTGGTTTTGGATTCGAGATCGCATTTATGGAAACTTACAGGCCGTAACTACAAATAAGCATAACAATATGGCTACATTATTCTCCATACTTCACGAACCACAAGAACACGCGCTAACATTTTTCAGTCTGCTTTCACTGGTTGTTCCCCAGTAACGGATCTTAACAACGGAGATTCTTCAACTGCGCAGACCAAGTCTTCTCTTGGCAGACTCCCGTTCAACTGACTGCCTTCAGAGATAGACTTACTTTGCGACTGACGATTTACCGCCAGTAAGTTCTTCTTGGCGACTAACCCTTTGAGACTCACGACCAGCGTTTATTATTTTTTTTCAAATTAACCCTTGCGGGCATAGTCCTTATGTAACATCCTGTCCGACGAGATGATGGGTGGGCCGTTTACAACTGCCGCTGGTCTTCGCCAGAGCAGTCATTCTCAGGTCCGATTCCCGCGGGACTCATGACCCATTTTACTGTTTCAAACTCGAGACTCCCCCAACCTGTAGGGCCAGGTTCCAGCATTTATATCAGTCACATTGCTACTGATGGTCAGTCTGTCAGTAAGTCTTGGTGTCCCATCTGGGGCTCATGACCAAATATTTGTTACAGTTTGACAGTTACGGACTTGTTTTTGTTAGGCGCCCTCTCTGGCGAGAGGACGGCTCTGTCTTTTGTATGTGCTGCTGGCCCTTGCCAGTGTAGCCTTTCTAGGGTCACAGTCCCTTGGGACTCGAGACTATATTCTACTTCCTCAGATGTGAGACTTCCCTTTTAGTCGCCTCCTAGGACTCGCAGGATCACAGTGGATATATCAGACCCCGCCTCCACACGGCTTTACTGCCTTACAACTGACTCGTTTATAATATCTCGTCACGGACCGCATAGGAAACACCGTTCATTGTTGTAATACAAGCGTTTCCGTAGGAACACGTTTGTTTGCGAAGGTGTTACCCAGTAATGGCTGTGGTACATTTGCTTATCTCGTGTTCGTTGCCTAGTAAAGGATATTGTTTTGAGGTCGTTATAGAGTAACGCTCTACACGCTACAGTATNGGTTAACACCACATATACACGGTGCCAAATCCCAGAAGACTGCTTTCTTCATAGTCACCGCCGTGAAAGCCTCAAATCTTACACAGTATGTGAACTGTTTATTTCATGAACTCTCATTAGACAAATTATAGTTGGAGTTAGGTTCTCTCAGTGGTGACTGAAGAGTACTAATTTCGCTTCGCTTAGTGGGGGTGGAGTCCAACTGGGTCCACTCGGCACGGCGGCCACTGATTGGCCTATTGTACCTGCCCCGGGTGATTATGATGGAGAATTTTGTGGAATGAAGATTGGCAGGGGAAACCGAAGTACTCGGAGAAAACCCGCCCCAGCGCCACTCTATCCATCACAAATCCCACTTGATCAGATCCAGGATCGAACCCGGGCCGCTGCGGTGGGAAGCCAGCGACTAACCTCTTGAGCTATGGAGCGACCTACAAAGACATCTTTGGAATGTGATGCTGTGTAGTCAATAATTCACTGAGGATTCGGAGGGCCGTACCGCCTCCATCTTCAAGGTCTATGAGTAAGCCAAGCTAAGAAGAACCAGTTGCTACAGGCTGCTACCAGTTGCTACGAATTGCTACGAGTTTACTGGACTATACGGTGCCATGTCTCAGAAGATATGATCCCTCATATCAGCGACATAAGAACCTCAAATCTCATACAGTCTCCATTACAAAATCCAGCCGATAATTGCTAGAATCACAGGAAATTCACAATTACACTGCGTGGTCAAGATGAAGAATCTCTGAATCATAAAGCAGGTGATTCATATAATAACCACTTTTGTTTAACGTGTTAATGGAAGGTTTCAAGGAATGAATCCATTTTCTAAAAAGAGGCGATCATGCAGAGATTGTAGGAAAGGAAAATTTATCGCTGTTTTTAATTAGTGAGGCATTACATCATGAAGAATTATGGGAGAGCAGATATGTAGTAACCCTACAAAACATTATAATATCTTCTGCAAAAAAAAACACTCACCTGTCTCTTTCAGCTTCCTGCTTAATTCGTTAGCTGTCAGAATGTTTGCTAACTTACTGCAAGAATACACTTGTAGCGTATCGAACCACTTCTCAAAATTGAGGTTATAAAGATCAAATTTGGCAGTCTTGTGTAACCATGATGATAGCATCACAATTCGACTGGGAGCCGATTTCTTCAATAGTCCTGTTACAGAAAAAAGTCGGTTATATTTACTCAATAATTTTATATGTAATACATATTTCTCTGTTAAAGAAAATGTGGTATGAAGGTAATAATTTAAAAAATTGTAGGGAAGGGAGTAACACTTTTGTTCTTGTCGCGAAAAGTGGTCTGTTTAGTTGTCGTGCTACATAGTCTGATGGAATGGTATGTTCTGGATTGTAATGCTGTGTCATTCAACAGAACTACGCCTCCATTTTGAGGAATACTTTCGGACTTTCAAAATGGCGGCGATACTTTCCTTCGGATCGTCGGTGGACTTCTACCGAACTATGCTTTTATGAATTAGAAGACGTAAACTTGTGAGTCACCTCTGTGAGTACCTCATATCTCTACACTGTATGACACTACTCTCATGACACTATTGTTGAACACTCCAGGAAGGGTATATATTCACTCTTAAAATATTGAACATTTTTCGAACCGTAATAATGAGGGGAAAATACACATGTTAATTTGATGTTTTGAATAGATATTGCAAGTACCTTGGTTAATATCTGGACTATGAAAACAAAATTAGTGAAGAATTTAAGTTACTGCATTGCAATATATTTTGTGATTTACAGAGATCTAATACATAGATATATTAAGATAATCTTTATTGTTTTAACATGAGACATCTTCGCCTTTACACTTGTATTAATCTTGGAATGACAAGTCATCAGGTGTAAATAAGTTTTATGTAAATAATCTAATTATTTATATGGCCTTACATTTTTCGGTGTTGAGGATGGCTCAGAAAGGTTAAAAATATATAACCATGTAAATAGCTAGATTATTTACGTTAAACTTGTTTAGATTGGATGGATATAGCCTTTGTGTGTTATTGTACGGCACATTCAGCTAATGTTATTCTCTTGTCTATTTCGCAGTCTACCAAGTGGAAACTTACAAGAGACACTGCTGCCACACGACGCGGTATAACCCGGCTACCAATCGGTAAGTAAGCAACACATTTCAAGGCTTTACGCTGACTGACGTTTCTTTCTCTCGTCGCAAAGCGTCAATATACACGGCTCATAGTGAGGTCACGGAAAAAGATAACAATGGATGATTGAGATGGCGACGCTAAAAGGTTCCTCCTCTCTGCTTACTCTTGTATTCCCCTCCAGACAACCTGACCTATGTCAACCAGAACCTTTCCTTGCAAAGATTATCACTATCAACTTCCTTGTGAACAAAATGACTAAAAGTTTGGAGAGAAATGCAGGAAGTGGGCTGGAGGCGTAGAAGTAACAGACCGTAGGAGATGTGGGAGGATTTGATCCATGAAACTACTTACGGTGTGCTCAGTACAGCGAAGGTTATCACTAAACTCCATCTGCTGTGGAAACGAGTCGGACGGCTGCAATTCGATTCCCGGCAGAGCAAGAGAATTTTCTCTGTTTTCCACAGGGTTCAAACCGGATCTAGGGCCCACCTAGCCTCCTATTCAATGGAGAGCAGAGCCCTTGCCCCGGAGATAAAGCGGCAAGGGTGTGAAGTTGACCACTCACATCCATCTAGTGCTGAGGTCAAGAGTAGTGGAGTTATACCTCCACTACCTCATAATCCTTCGTGGTGTAGTGCTCAATTAATTAAACACAGGAACAAATTTACCTCTTTTAACTGTGGGAACGAGGGTTACCCATCGTCAGGTACTGACATATACCTTTACGTCAATATTTTGTTTCAATATAATTTCGGTATTTATACGCAGTAGGAAATTCAAACACGTAGGGGATTTTGTTCTGTATGGTTGCCTACAGTGGTTATGATGTTACATCCTTCTATGGTGGGTGGAATTTACTACCATTCATGTGAACAGAAGGTTCAGGCAAATGATGGGGAATACAGGGGAGTATACCAGGGGGGGGGGAACGTAACAGGTTGAGGGAGATGTGAAGGGGGGTTCATCTAAGGGACTCCTTTCCGTGGCCTCAGTATAGATTTACTTCCTTCCTCACTTATGAATTACGGTTTCTCAGCTACTTAATTGTTTAGCTTTGAAGTCTGTTTGAGAGTAATGGCTTGGGAAGGATACCAATGGCAGATGTCATTGTCTATTTTAAATAAGGATGCCAGCTTTGCCTGGAGGACAGGGGAAGCCCACGAAAAACTCAGGAAGTTTAGCCGGCTACCTAGACTAGAAGCAAACCACTATATCCTGAATAGGAAGCAGGAATTTTAACCACTCGACCGAGGCGGTTAAGTTGAAGCTACTCGTAAGGGTAATTTTCCTCCAGACAATGTCTTACCCAGGAGGAGGCACGTGAGCAAGAACGGTCCGAAGTGGTTCACCTGCATGCCGAGTTGAAGGTTATCGGCCGTCATTTTGTTTTTAAACCCTGCAGCACCTGCATTGTTGATAAGCACGTCGAGACGTGGCTCTGTGTTGATAATGCTGTTTGCAAACCGGCGGACCGAACCCAGCGAACTGAGGTCCAGGTGACGCACTTCCACCATATTGTTCCCAGTGCTTGCAACAATATCGACTGTGAACACAAGCAGTCCTATGTTAGCGTACGTGAATTAGTTATTTAAGTCTGTAAAACGACATAAACCATTATATTCTATTAAGTTTTCTTGGTTGAGGCACTAATGCTACAAGCCGGAAAGTCGCGGGTTCGATTCCCGATGAAGTCATTGGATTTTTAAATGAACCTAATATTTCAAGCCGCACTATGGCCTTGGGGTCGACTCAGCCTCTAACAGAAATGAGTACCAGGAATCTTCCTGGGGGTAAAGGGCAGACGGTGCATAAGGCTGACAACCTCACCGCCATCTGTGAGCCGATTGTCTTGAAGATGTGGGAGTCTCCACCGTCGGACAACCCTATGGGCCTCCGTGGTCTGTTACAGAGATAGCTTTACCTTTCTTTACCATCGGATACCTATAATATGCAGCGCCACCTTGATACCCCGAACTAATAAAAGCCCTGTTGTGTTCGGACCGTCGAATCTTTCAAATTATTATATTTCAAATAAAAAATTCGAATTTTATAGCAAAATTATTTACTCAAAATTTTCGTAAGTACAATTTATGTACAAACAATGACCGGAACTCCCGGATATTTGACTACACTCTGCGCTCGGGGCAAGCGGTAACCGGGTTGCATGCTTCACCTTTTTGAGGGGCAGATCCAATGTGTTTCATGAGAACTTATTTTTACTGCAAAGAAATGAAGAAGAGGCAGATTAAATCAGTATTCTCTGGTGGCGCCGATTGTTCTTCTAACAATACAAGTCAGTTCGGATTCCTGGGAGTTCGCATTGATGTACAGTCGTATTATAATATATGTATATATATAAACTTAGTGACGGGGATGGTTTCTTCCTCTTCTTCTTACTTCCCTCTCTTGGCTCCAAATTTTCTCAACACCTCTTCTCTGACACCCTTATCTATATGCTTCCCTTAATGTGAATACTATTTTTCAAATAAATACAAATATAAAAGGTAAAAAGGTAAAGCTATCCCTGTAACAGGCCGTGAAAGCCCATAGGATTGTGAGACGTCGAGGCTCCCACATTTTCTACACAATCGGCTCACAGCTGGCGGTAAGGTTGTCAGCCCTTACGCGCTGGCCGCCCAGGAAGATTCTTGGTACTCAATTCTGTTAGAGGCTGAGTCGACGCCAGGGCCATAGTGCGGCTGGAAGGATTAGGTCCATTGAAAAATCCAATGACCTCATCGGGAATAGAACCCGTGACCTTTCGGCTTGTATCATAGTGCCTCAACCAACTACGTTAATACGTGCCTCATATGTATATAAGGGTAATGCTAAGATGATAAGTAAGCTCTCAATTTAAGGGCTTTCCGGGTTATCTTAGCAAATGAATTATCGCCCTTTGACACGCTACATGATGCTCTGCAGTAAGTCACGATTGAGCAAGCAGTCTTTTGTTTCACAGTAGCGTGTCTACCCTGTGAGCATTGATTCACTTACATAAATGGTAAAGAGCTGTATATTATATAAATGGGACGGTTCATGATTATTTGTGAGCCTTATTAGTGGGGAAACTGTGTTAAAATTGGCCTCGGCTTATGATTCGACTAGAAAGGAATATAGGAAACTGCAACTGAAATTAATAGCACGATATATGTATATCAGGTTGCCTGAATATCAGGCAGTAGTCAGTCCTTGCACGGAGGAGCCGGAATTACTACACTAAAATAGGCTACGACCACCTCTTTCCATAGCCATTCTAATTCATTATTCACTGGGATCATCATTCGACGCTATAAAATTTGAGCGTCGTTAAATGAACTGCGAATACAAACAGATGGAAGCCACGTACCACGAGCTCTGTATCCCTTCTCCAAATTCCTGCAGGCAAGAATTACCTTCGCTCCTCTTCGAGCAAGGTCACGTGCTGTCTCTTTTCCAATCCCTGGAATCAATAAATCATTTAATAAAAAAAAAACTCCGTGGCTTCATTCCGCAAGCGAACTATAACGACCGAGCGACCGCCGCTTGTCGACGAAGTTAGTACCAACTTTTGCGGATAGCGGGTGTCGCGTGGTCAGCGTAACAGATCCCCACGGCCGTTAATTTCGGTTTCTAGACCGGAGCCGCTATTTTCTTGAAATAGCTCCTCAGTTATCCGCACGAGGCTGAGAGGACCCCGTTCCTGACCTACCACTTCTCAGAAAATCTGGTATCGCCGGGAATCGAACCCGGACCTCTGGATCTGTAGCCAGGAACTCTGACCACTAGACCACAGAGTTGGTCAACCTTTAATACATAAAGTCATAAATACATAACACAAATATAAATAATAGAATATAATACAAATAATATAAATACATAAATAATTAGTTTTAATTGTAATTAAGTTCTGGGTTACCCAGTCTTTAATTAATCAATAAAAAAAATATTTCATGCTTGACATGTTTCAGTCTTATAATAACACAGCACGGCCCGAACAGCAGACGGCACTAAAGAGTCATATTCCTCAAATAACAGAACCATGACGTGGTCTTCCTTTAAAGAGAGGCAGTACAGAGACACTAACGATATTGGTTCTAGATTTAACAAAAACTTGTTCAAACAATACTTTTTCCGCAACAGTAAATCCATAAACTTAGACTTTAGAGTATGTTTTAAAAAATGTTAGGCTTTTGTTCGGCTTTAAAAACGTAGATTTTTGGTTTTGCTTTAAAAATAAATATCTAAAATTATTCTAAGGCGAGGCTTTTGATTTTATCTTTAAAAAAACAAGCACAGGTTTCTAACATTAGGTTAAAAATGTAGGTTTTTGGTTTTGCATTAAAAATAAACATCTAAAATTATTCTAAGGTGAGGCTCTTAGTTTTATCTTTAAAAAAACACCCACAGGTTTCTAACATTAGGTTCTATATTCATTTTTTAAATATCCACATCTGAAATCCTTCTAAATTTATTTTTGTGTCTTGTTTCTTGCATATAAACTTTTAACGTTGTCGTCGCTATCATGGCGTTCATTGCTGAACGCCATGATGAACGCAATGAACGCAATGTGAAATTACACAAAGTTACTTGGGCCACGTGACTGGATAAACAGTTTATTCGAACAAACTGCATGAGACTGACAATAAAAAAATATAATTGAACTTCACCTGTGTTGGCGCCCGTGACTATAACGGTCTTTCCATCCATCCGGTTCGTGCTCCTGCATATTCCAGTTCGTAATTTGAGGTAAAACTTGAATCCTGAGGGTCAGAATATTCAGTATAAATTAAGCAATTTTTAATTACCACTCATAAGAACTCAGTAACATTGTGTATTATACAGAAATTCAGGTTGTTCTGGGATGGATGCTGGATGGATACGACATAAAATACAATAGAGTTATCTAACATCATACATCCACCTATCATAATGGGGCATTTAACTGAGAAGCAAATACAACGTCCAACACTCACCAATATATGACCGCACCCGAAAAAAAGAAAAAAGCTCTCAACGGCAAAACTCGACGGCAGTCTGCGGTACTACACGTCAAGTAAGGGAAACAATTTTATATTGTCACGACTTGGAAGTTGTGTGAATATTAGACGGGGTTTGGATTGATGGCCTGATTTTTTGCACGCTTATGCAACTTGTTTCTACACTTCACAAACCACTGTATGACACACTACGTGTTCTATCATCTTCGGCTGCCAGCTCAAGAGGCTCCCCCAACTCTCAAGTAACCATTCACTTGGAGCTACGGAACCCGACTAACTCCTCTCAACCACTCTGCACGGGCCGAACAGAAAACATCGTTGCCAACAATACCCCTATTATTGTGTGTTTATCGACCCGCTGCTTAGAAAGGGATTCTTCCATTGTTGCGTGATTATTTATTGTTCTGGCTCCACTAATCCGGCTTTCAGGCCTCATATCACAATATTCATCGACTACGCTTCAGGAATCTTAACAAATTATAACCACGTTTGATATTTCAACATTATAAGTAAGTGAAGTTCAAGGGCAGTGCACTCATGTGGGATTCACTCACAAACAAAGCACATTCAAGTAAATATTAGCCAATGCAGAGTAATGAGCATGGTCGAAAGGCGAAAACTTGTTGTCAACCTTTAACGTATGTTATATCCATATGTAGATAGTTTTGATGAAATCACACAATAAATAAATACAAAACTCCGTGGCCTGTAGTCCGCAAGCGAGCTGTACCGACCGAGCGACCGCCGCTTGTCGGCGAAGCTAGTGCCAACTTTAGCGGATAGAGGGTGTCGGGTGGTCAGCGCAACGAATCCCCACGGCCGTTAATTTCGGTTCTCTAGACCGGAGCCGCTACTTTTCCATTCACGTAGCTCCTCAATTATCCTCACGAGGCTGAGTGGACCCCGATCCAGGCCCACTACCTACCAGAAAATCTGGTAGCGTCGGGAATCGAACCTGGGACCCCTGGATTTGTAGCTAGGAACTCTACCACTAGACCACAGAGGCGGTCTAAATAAACAGATAAATAAATAAATGGAGCCATGTTTACGTATGGCTGAACGGTAGAGTTGTTTTGGTACCGTCGGAAGGACGGACACTCACCTTCCCTATTCCCCTCCCCTCCCCCCCCACTTCATATGTTGCGTAATATGCACTGCATTCCGGATTTTCACGTGATCTCCACCCTTCCTCCAGCTGTTCTAGCATATACGAGTATAAATAAAAATAATTAAATAAGGGATAATGTAGAGGTAAAGTTATCCCTGTAACAGGCCGGNAACCCGCGACTTTCCGGTTTGTAGCATAGTGTCTCAACCAACTACCCTACCGCTTAACCCCAAACAGAGAATAAACTATATAATTTCTAACAAGGAACTGGAAATAAAAAACATATAATTCAAGTATTGTATTGATCACGTTTTGTGACGTCTAACCAAACCATTTACCTATAAATATTAACCACTCAAATTTTCTATATATATATATATATTTTACGTGGTCTATAACGGCAGCCATACTCTCATCCCGTGAACTCTGTCTTTCAAGTTGTCGTGACAAAACTGCATGCTTGAATTTATTCTGAGTGGAAATAGCATGAATTCTAAATTCACTGGCAAGTCAGTATAACAGTGACAGATGCTAAACAGCGTCGCTACAGACACAATCGTTAAATAGATCACAGATCAAAGTGATTCCCAACTATCCGCATGTTGCTACCCGCTGATCGTGACACATCGTGTCTTGTTGGATCTGAGGTTTTCAAACACTGGTTACGAACATCACTATCGTCTGGCACATGACGACATGCAGTCTCGGAAACATCCACCAAAGCTTTCATTTCTCCAAGAAATACATTTTTAGTGTTATGTACATTTTAGTATTATATTAATCATTAGAAGAAATTTAAATATTACGGTTTATGGATTACATGCCAAGTAGTTCGAAGAAAACAAGAAATTTTAGAGGAACATATCGTCTCCATCTTCAGGGTGAAAGATTAAACCCAGCAAGTAAAGTAAAGCTATCCGTGTACCAGGTCGTGAAGGGCCATAGAGTTGTGAGATGTTGAGGATCCCACATTATCTAGACCAGTGTTTCCCAACCTTTTTGATGCCGCGGACCCCCTGGAGCGAATGTTAATTGACCACGGCCCCCATAAAACCCCAAATGGAATTTTTTTTTTATATTTTACATATCATGAAAGTGAAGCAGTAA